TAGATGGATTTTGCCCCAAATGTTGTTGACTCATGTAGACAGTGGGGTTTGGGTGTTGGTTATTTTGTCCATTTCTCCCTCCAGGCTAGAGTCAAGACTTGAGGTACATATTTGGCTTCTCCATTATTCAGTAGAATAAATAACAAGGTAGAGTTTTGATCATGCATTTATGCAGGGATCCCATTAGGAATGTAAAGATTTTTCTGAAGCTTAATTCACTCCATAGGATAGCTCACGGACAGTTCCTAGGAATAATTGAAATAGGATGATGATGATGAATATATAACATTTATTGAGCACCTGCTATGTGCCAGGCATTGTGCTAAGCACTTTACAAGAATTGTCTCATTTAATCCTCACAACATTCCTGGGGAGTAAGTGGTATGATATCTCCATTGTATAGTTGAGGAAACTGAGGGAAACAGATAAGTGACTTACCCAAGGTCACACAGTGTGTGAGGCCAGATTTTAACTTAGGTCTTCCTGACTCCCTGGCATCACCTACCTGCCTTAAGCTAGGAAAAGTAGCCACCATTATAGGCTAACAAAACTGAAAACACAAAAGAAACAGCGGAATAACTTGAAAAATATAAGATACCAAAAGAATCAGAAGACCAGAGACCTTAAATAACCCCATCTTAGAAAAGGAAATAGATTTAGAAGTAAAAGAACTACCAAAGTATGGGGGCGGTGGGGGCAGGAAAGGGGGGCAAGGAGAGGGAAACTCCTGGTCCTGATGGAGTCACAGGAGAATTCCATCAAATTGTTAAAGAATAGTTAGTACCCACATTTTTCAAATTATTCTCAAAAATTGAGAAAGAAAGAACCCTACCAGAATCCTTTTATAGGGAAAAATGTAATCCAAATATCTAAGCTATGGACAGATATAATGGAGAAAGAAAACTATAGGCTAATATCATTAATGAACCCTGACTCAAACATTTTAAACAAAAGCCTATCAAACAGACTACAGTAATTTGTCCAAGAAATCATTTCATTATGATCAAGTGGGATTTATACCTGAGTTGAAAGGATGGCTCAACATTAGGAAAGCAAACAACATAATTAATCATATTAAAACTCAAAACATCCAAAACCACATGATCATTTTAATAGATTAAAAAAAAACCTTTCACAAACTACAACACTCTTTTGTGCAAAACAACAACAACAAAACCCACCAACCTACAAAGGATAGGCACAGAGGGAGCCTATTAAAAATATAAAAAGCATCTATCTAAAACAAAAAAAAACAAGCATCATATGAAATGGGGATACACTAGAACTTTTTCCAATAAATACAGGAGTAAAGCAAGGATGCCTGCTGTCCCCACTATTATTTTATGTAGTTCTGGAAATGTTAGCAATAAGACAAGAAAAGGGAATCAAAGAAACAAAGCTAGGTGAAGAAGAGATAGAACTATCCCTGTTTGCTGACGATAGGGTGGTTTACTTGGAAAACCCCAGGTAATCAGCAAAGATGATAATTGAGAGAATAGTTTCAGCAACATTGCAAGCTACAAATATATCTTCAAAAATCAACAGCATGTCTACATAATAAAAAACAAAATACAGGAAGTAATAATAGAAAGGGAAATCCCATTCTAAATAACTACAAAATGCATAAAATATATCGGAATCAACCTCCTAAAGCACACAAAAGACTTAATATAGATTCAGTTATGAAGTGTTCCTTGGAGAAATAAAGAACAATCTAAATATCTGGAGACATATTCACTATTCATGGCTAGGCTGTGCCAATAATAATAAAATTATAATAAATATTAATAATAATTAATAATAAAATTAACTTATATTTTTCATTACAAAAGAAATGCAAGTCAAAACAACTCTCAGGTTTCACCTCACATCCTGCTAATTGGCAAAAATGACAAAAAATGACAATAATCAATATTGGAGAAGTTGTATAATGATAGGTACATTAATACTTTGTAGGTGAAGCTGTGAAATGGCATAGCCATTTTGGAAAGTAAGTTGGAATTATGCAAATAAAATGGTTAAAATGTCCATATCCTTTGAACTAGAGATTCCATTACTAGGCTTATATTCCAAGAAAGCCATTGATAAGAAAAAAGTCTGCACATACTCCAAAAATATTTATGGCAGTACTTTTTGTGATAGTTAAGAATTGAACAAATGGATACCCTTCAGTTGGAGAATGGCTAAACAAGTTATGGTCCATAAATGTAATAAAATATTACTGTGCTATAAGAAATGATGTATGTGATGAATAGAAAAGCATGGAAAAATCCATATGAACTGATGCTGAGTGAAATAAGCAGAACCAAAAAAAAATAAACAGTAACTACAATAAATGGAAAGAACAATTACACACTAAAAAAAAACAAAAGTAAATGAAACAAAATTACAAAGATTGAGTTTGTTGTTCTTCATACTTGAAGAGAACCAAAATGACATCATGATGTCAGGGGTCAATGTACAGTGTGTCAACTGTGGCTGATCAGACTCAGACTCGGCAGGCTTTACTACAGGTAATCTGAAGGAACATTTGGGAGAGAGATGTCTCTAAAGGTGCATATCTCAAATTTCTTTGGGGCTACTGCAATTCTGCTTTGCTCAGAGTACAGTGCCTTTTCAGATGCGGGCATCCATGCTGAATGGTCCTGTGTCAGTGTCTCCCATATCTCACAATCAATATCAAAATTGTTTAGAGAGACTTTGAGAATGTCTTTGTAATAATTCTGATCTCCATGTCAGCACTTGTCTTATGTGAGTTCTCTGTAAATCAGTCTTTTAGGCAAACATACATTTGGCATTCAAACAACATGGCCAGCCCACTGGAGTGGCTCTCTCTCTGCAGAAGAGTTTGAATGCTTGGCAGTTCAGCTTGAGAAAGGACCTCAGTGTCCAGTATCTTATCTTGCCAAGTGATCTTCAGAATCTTCCTAAGACAATTCAAATGGGAGTAGTTCAGTTTTTTGACATGGTGATGGTATACTGTCCAAGCTTCACAGGCATATAACAACAAGGTCAGCATTGTAGGCCTTCAGTTTAGTAGGCAGCCTAATACTTCTCTCCCACACTTTCTTTCAGAGACTCCCAAACAATGAGCTAGCTCTGACTATCTAAATGTACATCTCTGGAAAGTGTATTGTCAAGGTAAGTGAACTTAACCAAAGAATTCAAAATTTCTCTACTTGCTGTAACCAATGGTTCCATGTATGGATGTTGTAGTGCTGGCTGGTGGAGAACCTGTGTTTTCTTTCAGGCCAAAATTAGTACAGTTGGCAGAGAATCAATCCATATTCTGTTGCATATCAGGCTCAGAGGCTGTGTTGAATGTACAATTATCTGTGAACAAAAAGTCATGCCACAACTCTCCCTCCACTTTAGTCTTGGCTTGTAGCCTTTTCAAGTACAATAACTTATTGTCTGTGTGGTAGCTTATCTTGATGCCATTTTCATCCTTGTTGAAGTCAAGTGTCTGACAACATCACTGAAAACATCATGCTAAAAAAGCATGGGAACAAGCACACAGGCCTGCTACACTCCATTGGTGACTGGGAAAGTGCAAGAGCATCACCTATTATCCAGAACCTGGGCAAGCATGCCATAATGAAACTGGTATACAATACTGACAGACTTCTCTGGGAAACCAAATTTTGCCACGATCTTCCATAAGCCCTCAAAACTGACAGTATCATTCAAATCACACTTGCTAGCTGTGTGACCCTGGGCAAGTCACTTAACCCCGATTGCCTCACCAAAGAGCAAAAACCAACTATCAAAAAACAAAACAAAAACAAACAAACAAACAAAAACCTGGCAGTGTCAAAGGCCTTGGTTAGATCAACAGAAGTTGTGTACAGATGTTTGCTCTGCTCATGGCATTTCTCCTGGAGTTGTTGGGCAGCAAACACCATGTCAGCCATTCCTTGGACCTTTCTGAAGCCACACTGACTCTCAGGTAAATGACCATTTTCCAAATGAAGGATTAGCTAATTAAGAAGGCCTCTGGCAAGAATCTTGTCAGCAAAAATGACTAAGAGAGAGACCCTCCACCCTCATCACAGGACAACTTATTTCCTTTTCCTTTATAAAGATGGATGATGGAAGCATCCTTGATCTCCTGGGGGATAAACTCTTCTTGCCATATAACCCAGAAGATTTCAGTCAGCTTTTGTTTGAGCAGTGGACTCCCTGCCTTGTAGATCTCTGCTGGAATGGAATCAGCACCAGGAATTTTCCCACACAAGAGGAGCCTAATGGCATAAATCTCTTCTTTGTTTGGAAGGGATTGACTTCAACCTGAGTTATGTGGTCAATGGCTTTAGCATTGGTTGATGGTCTGTTGAGAACATTATGGAAGCATTCAACCCATCTCTCCAATATCATATCCTTATTACTAATCAGTGTGGCACCATCAGCACTGAGTATTTGAGATGCACCAAAGTTCTTTGGATCATCAGCATAAAACTGAATCTCATCTGCCTTCTTACTGAGGCAAGAATCCTGCATTTCTCTAAGCTTTGCTTGCACTTTACTTTTTTTTTTTAAATTTGGTTAGGCAATGGGGTTAAGTGGCTTGCCCTGGGTCACACAGCTATTAAGTGTTATGTGTCTGAGGCTGGATTTGAACTCGGGTCCTCCTGAATCAAGGGCCAGTGTTCTATCCACTGTGCCACCTAGCTGCCCCTACACTTTACTTTTGATGGAGTTAAATGATGCCTTCTTAGAGATGGACAAATTATCCTGCTGGTAAACCCTGTGGAGTTCTCAATTTTTAGTTAGTAGCTTCTGAATTTCCTCATCATTTTCATCAAACCAATCTTGGTGTTTGTGAGTGTTCTGGCCCAGAGGAGTAAATTCACTGCTGTAAACCAAATCTCTGAAAGCTGCCCATTCCTTTTCTGCTCCACTGTTGCCAATTGTGTGTTGGTTCAGCTTTCCCTCCAAGTTAGCAACAAACTGTTCCGCTTGGAGAAGTACTCTAATCTGTTGATATTAACTCTTCTAGTAGCCCTCTTGCCTTGGGGTCAGCACTTTTGTTGAATGTGAATATTTAGCTTGGAGAGGATAAGTCTATGGTAAGTTCAGCATTCTGCACCATACATTGCCTTTATCACTCTTACATCCTCTTTGCCTCTTCTTTCAATGACAGTCTATTAAATACCAGTATTTGCTGTGAGGGTGCATCCACAAAGTTTTGTTGCATTTAGGTAAATGGAAAACAGTGTTGGTGATGAGGTCATGAGATGCACAAGTCTTCAGTAGTAAGTGACCATTACTGTTGCCATTTCTGATTTCATTCCTCCCAAGGACTCCCTGCCATGTCTGATAGTCTGTGCTACTCTAGCATTAAAGTCACCCAGAATTACAAGCTTGTCCTCTCTTGGCACATTGATGATGAGGGTCTCTAGGTCTTCATAAATTTTTTCTTTAACCTCATCAGGGTCCATCATGGTGGGAGCATAGGCACTGATGATGGTGGCATAGCCCTTTCCTGCAAGTAGCAATTACATCATCATGAGCCTGTCCGTCACTCCTTTTGGAAGGCATACAAGTTTGTTGACTAGATTAGATATGATTGTGAAACCTACACCAGCTTCATGGTGCTTCTCACTCCAGAAAAATGTGTGGCCAGCTCTGACTTTGGTACTCATCTTTGCAAAAGTTTTTGTACATTTTTTTATGTTTTCACTGCAACCCCATCTGCAGACCAGGGTAAGGAGAAGCAGACAATTTTTAGGGGACCTTTTCTAGCCCCTTCCTTATACCAGGAGGTGAGCAGTTCAGTCCTTAAAAAGGCTGCTCAGATATGCAGGGGGCTTTTGAATCCCACTGCCGCTTCAGTCCAGCGAGATGACCCTACACCCTGAGCCACCTGTGTGCAGGGCTGTACCTACAGCTCCCGGTGTATCTGCAGTTGTTACTAGCCTGTTGTCACAGACTTCCAAGTAGGTAAAATAGTAACATACTAAAATGATGAAATAGTAGAATAGTTGAATAGTAAAATAATAAAACAATGAAATAGTAAAATGGTATGGGTGATATCTTTTGACTATCAGGTAAATTGGATTTAAGTGAGGCAGAGCTGTGCAAAGTCATCAACCTCACTCTCTTCCAGAGTCATCAGATTCCACTGGCAAGACAAAAGTCAAGACAGACTCAGCATCAAGTAGGACTGGTATGAGAAGACACCACCAACCCTACTTCAACCTCATGGAGGTGGGAGGTTCATAAGTGTTACACATTGCACATGTTTTTGGACTTTCAATTATGAATTAGTTATGCTGATTTTTGTTTTTGTTTTTATTTTCTCTAAAAATACTATCTTCATATGGGATGGCTCTCTGGAAAGGGAAGTGAGAGTGAAACATGGAATACTATGGTGTTGTAAGAAACAGAAAATATCTTAGTCTCTTGGTGAGGGTTCTTTTCAGACTTGCTGAAATTGGAGGAGAATGAATTGCTGTAGATTTTGGAGTGAGGGAATGTCCTCAGGCTTTCTCTCTCTCTCTCTCTCTCTCTCTCTCTCTCTCTCTCTCTCTCTCTCTCTCTCTCTCTCTCTCTCTCGGCAATTGGGGTTAAGTGACTTGCCCAGAGTCACACAGCTACTAAGTGTTATGTGTCTGAGGCCACATTTGAACTCAGGTTCTCCTGACTCCAGGCCTGGTGCTCTCTCTACTGCGCCACCTAGCTGCCCCCCATCCTCAGGCGTTCTCTTACTGTGAACCTCATGAAACTGTCATGAAGCAAGCACATGGCCCCTCTGTTATCTCTCTGTCTGTTATGTCCATTCATATCTAGTTTCTAGGTAAAGATGGCTGTGACAATGTGAGCTTTAAAAGCAAGCTATTGAGACGTATGAGAATAAAATTCCATTCCAGGTTTTGTAGCCAGCCAATTGCATTGAGGTCTGGACTTAATTATCAAGGAAACAATAGAGACTATGCAACATATCACTGCAAGCTATAAAAATTTAGCCCCTGTTAAATAACTAGCAAGATACAACCTGATGACTAGAAGCTTGTATTTTTTTTTTAATTGACTGACAGATGACAATTTCCTGTACTACAAATTCAGAACTTAAAATATCTTGGAAGACTCAGCCAATATAGCTAGGAATACCTTGGTGTCTTCCTGTTGAGACCCAGAGTATAGAGAACAACTCATCAATTGGGTAATTATTTTAAAAGTATCCTGAAAGAACCATAACATTTAGACTTCCTTTGCTGATTATTGGTGCCTTTGACTCAGTTCCACACTCATGGCTTAATCACACCCTGAAACTATTTAAAACAGACCCAACTACAAAGAAAATGCTAGAGTAATTGATGTCCATATGAAAAAACTGTTCTCTTTTTAAGATCTGCTACCAACACAACAATGTCAAGAACAATTCAGAAAAAATGTGATATTTTTCAAGGAAACGGTTTAAGCCCATCATGATTCTGCTTAGCCTTAAATCTGCTATCATCTCTCCTAAATAGAACTTAGTATAGCTTCCAAATTAAAGGAGGAAAATCAAAACCACTTGTTAACCATTTGGTATATAGGAATTACATCAAACCATATGGCTTCACCTAAAACCAAATTAAACAGCTTCTCTGTCTCGTAGAATCTTTCTACAAAGATATAAAAATATAATTTGAACTTAATATGTATAAAATTCTTATTGTACAACAAGGAAATATAGGCTTCCTGCTTGAATCCAGATATCACATTGAACAAATGAGGAGGAACAAATGAATGAAGGTGCTACCTACAAATATCTTGCTCTCCTCTGGGCGAGACAAATCAAGCACAAAGATATGAAGAAGTCTGTTACTCAATATTAAGTGGCTCATTGGTATTTCTAAATTCCAAGTTGGATAGGAAGAACCCATTTAAAGCAATTATCACACACAAAACTCCAGACCAGTTGTATAACCCTGGAACTGTTAGATGGACCATGTAAGTATCTTCACAAAATCTTGTGTAACATTAAGAAAATATAGGACATATCACCCTTTAGCACTTATAGAAGTATTAACATTTCTAGGCCAAAAAAGGAGGAAGAGGATTAATAGACATTCTTAGAACACATGATCAAAAGGTCAAACAGTCTACAGAAATCTTTTTAGAATATGCAGCTTTCACTGAGCAATAGAAAAGACCAATAATGTGTATATGCAGGGTTGTGCTGGAACCAGCTCAAACCAGCTTGTGAAAACCCACAAAATTTCACATTTTCAGTGTGAGCATTTACACCTTGGAAGTCAGCAAATCAGTTTGATTTTTTGTTGTTGTTGTTGATTTCTAGACTTAAGAAAAATGATGGAAAAAATGTTAATAATTCAGATTAAATTTTAAAATGTGTCATGTGTACTTTTTTTTCTTTAGAGAGCTGGTTGTCAAACATTCAGTAGCCCACACCTGGGTCATGCCTAAAGTGGCTTACTTCTGGATGAGGCCAATGAAGCAACTAAGATTTAAGAGTAGAATAAAAAGACTTTCCTCTAGGTAGTATCCAGATGAGCTCAGCACACAGTATGTCAACAAAGAAGCATGAGATGGTTGAAACATGCAGAATTGCTTATAGAAATGGAAGACTTTATGACAGCAATTCAGGACCAAGTCATTGCTATAAGAAACTACTAAAAAAGTTATTTTTATGGAGCCTGGACTTGATTACCAAGGAAATAGTAGATACTATGAAACACATCACTGCAGGCTGTAAAAATTTAGCCCCTATTAAATAATTAGCAAAATACAACCTGGTGGCTAGAATCATATATCGGAAAGTTGTTTTCTTTACTGACAGATGATAAATCCTGGTACTACAAATCCAAAACTCAAAATATTATAGAAGACTCAGGCAATACAGCTACAAATACTTTGGTTTCCTCCTGTTCAGATACATTAAAGATAAAGATATTAAAGGGTAGTGTTTCCTTCCATTTAGCTGAATATGTTGAGATTTTCTGGCATTCTGAAATCAAAGCTGAATGGGAAGAATGTGTTTAAATCAATTAAAACTTATTCAATGCCCATCTTGCTGTACACTTTTGGAATTGTAAAATAAACTGTAATCAATTTGGAAAATGTCCTTAAAAAACCAGTATCCTTATAAAAATGAGACATAGGGCCCATCCCAGTAAGGTAGCTAAAAAAAAGATTAATACTTTCTCATCAAAAAGAAGGAAGAGGATTTGTAGACAGTCTTAGGCCACATGAGAAGCAGGTCAAAAACCTACAACAGAATAATTGGAATAACGGCTTGTCACTTTACCAAGTAGTAATTAGGAAAGGCTGACGACAGGAATATAACAATGTATCTGTAATTTAAAGTGGTTCCCTTCCAAATGGGCCTCATGAAATGACTAAGATCCAAGAATGGAATCTAAGTACCCGCCATGAGTGACGTCCTCCCAAATCCAGCCATTAACGTGTCAACAAAGAAGCTTCAGACAAATGTTCAGTCATGTGGATTTGTTCATGGAAATGAAGGCGTTTATGATGGCAATTCAGAACTAGTCATTGCCACCAGACATTGCTAAAGCTTATCCAGAAGAAACCCAGGGACAGCAAGGAGGTGAAGTCGATAGAGCGCTGGAGGTCAGTAAGACTCATCTTCATGACACTTCCTAGCTTCATGACTCTGGGCAAGTCTCTTAATCCTGTTTGTCTCAGTTTCCTCATCTGTAAAGTGAACTAGAGAAGGAAATGGCAAACCACTCCAATATCTTTGCCAAAAAAAAAACCCAAATAGGAAGCAGCTAGATGGCGCAGTGGATAGAGCACCGGTCCTGGATTCAGGAAGACCTGAGTTCAAATCCAGCCTCAGATAAGCAAATGTCTTAATCCTGTTTGCCTCAGTTTACTCATCTGTAAAATTAGTTGAAGAAGGAAATGGCAAACCGCACCAGTATCTGTGCCAAAAAACCCCACCAAAAACCCAAATAGGGCCACAAAGAGTCAGACATGACTGAAGTGGCTGAACAGCGGGCAACCCCGACTTAGTGCTCCTTGCAGATTCAGCAAGGAAGTGGTAAAACTACGCAGCCTTATCACTCCAGGCTACAAACGTTTAGCAGTCGAGCACTTAGCAAGACCTGACGTGGTGGCTGGAATTATATATGTCATCAGCTCACTATCTTTTATAAACTACCAGATAACTATAATACAAATACAGACCTCAAATTTTAACTTATTGCGTAACAATAAGTTGGACATAGATTCACAAAAATGTCAAAACAGCATTTTAAATAGATGTTGCCATAGCCCCAAACTTTTCGTCCCTAAGCTATGTGAAATGAAAAGCATTCAAAATATAGAAATTTAGCCGAGGAAACCAAAACCATGTGAGAATAAGATGAAATTTATGTCAAATATATTGTCCTGTTTGCTGCTGGAGTTGTCCTGAAGATGCTCTCAGTGAGCCAACAGATCATGAATTTTCATAGCAGCACATTGGAGCTTTATTATTTTGCTCCTGCTTTTGATCCTTGCCTAATAGGTTAGACTTTCTCCAACAATTGATGTGTTATGAGAGAGAAGCTGTTAATTTGCCTTGTGGTCTAGAGCCAAAGTAAAAGTTAATTTGCATCTAATTGGTTAAGACATATGTTATACAGCAATATTGTAAGGATGATCAACTGTGAAAGACTTTAGCTACTCTGATTAAGATAATCATGCAAGAATTCCAAACGATCCATGATGAAAAGTGCTATCCACATCCAGAGAGAGAACTGATGAACTCTGAATGCGGATTGAAGCATGCTTTTCAAAAACTTTATTTCTCTTTATTTTTTGTCTGTTTTCTTTTATAATGTGGCTGACATGGAAATATGTTTTATATAACTTCACATGTATAATCAATGTCAAATTGCTTGCCTTCTCAAGTGGGAGGGAGCGGTAGGAAGGAGAGAAAGAATTTGGAACTCAAAACTTTAAAAAATAAATGTTAATTTTTTTATGTGTAATTGGGAAATATTAACAAAATAAAAATATATTAAAACATAAAAAATAAAAAAGACATGTTACAGCTAAGTGGAAGGATGATTGAAAGGTTTTCCTTAGAGGCAAGTAAAAGAGTTGTTGGAATTGGAATCATTTTGTGGTCATGGAATGCTACAGAATTATAGATGTATACCTGGGGAGAGGGAAACACCAAACTTGTACAAGGAGGTATACTTCCACAGTTCCTAAGCACAGAGGGAATAACTCTTTTGTTTTCTTTTTTAAAAAATTATTTTATTTATTTCTCATTTTCAATATTCACTTCCAAAAGATTTTGAGTTTTACCTTTTCTCCCCCTCCCTCTTCCTCACCCCTGCCAAGACAGTGTGTAATCTGATATAGGCTCTACTTACACACTCATATTAAGTGTATTTTCACATTAGTCATGATGTAAAGAAAAATTAGAATTAAAGGGAGGAAGCACTAGAAAGAAGAAACAACAGAAAACAAAAGAAAAGCAGAGCAAATAGTATGCTTCCATCCACACTCAGACTCCATAGTTCTTTCTCTGGATGTGGATAGCATTTTCCATCATGAATCTTTTAGAGTTGTCTCAGATCCTTACATTGCTGAAACGAGCCAAATCTATCAAAATCAGTCATAGCACAGTGTGGCTGTTACTGTGTACAATGTTCTCCTGCTTCTGCTCATTTCACTCAGCATTAGTTCGTTCAAGTCTTTCCAGGTTTTTCTGAAATCTGCCTGCTCATCATTTCTTATAGCACAATAGTATTCCATTCAATTCATATACCACAACTTGTTCAGACATTCCCCAATTGATGGGCATCCCCTCAATTTCAAATTCTTTGCTACCACAAAAAGAACTGCTATAAAAATTTTTGTACACATGGCTCCTTAAATAGTATTTTATTTTTCCAGTTCCATGAAAACATTAATTTAACATGTATTTTTAAATATAAATTTGATTTCTATATTTTCTCTTTCCTTTCCTCCCTCCTTCCTGAGATAAGCAATTTGATATAGGTTATTCATGTGCAATCATGTAAAACATATTTCCATATTAGTCATGTTGTTAAAGAAACAAAACAAAAGAAAAAAAGATAAAGAAAATAGTATGATTTGATCTGCATTCAGACCCCACCAATTCTTTCTCTGGATGTGGATAGCATTTTTCATCATGAGTCTTTTGAAATTATCTTTGATCATTATATTGCTGAGAAGAGCTAGGTTGCTCATAGTTGATCATCACACAGTGTTGCTGTTACTGTGTACAACGTTCTCCTGGTTCTGCTCACTTCACTCAGTATCGGTTTATGTAAGTCTTTCCAGGTTTTTCAGAAACCCACCTGCTCGTCAATTCTTATAGCACATAGTGGGAATTTTCTAACAAACCTACTTTGACAAAACTGAACCAAATGATCACCAGCAGACTTTTAATCCCTGACAGATAACTGACCTGCACAGAAATGAGGGAATGATCCTGGATTCTTCCCTGTCCCTCACCTCTTATATCCACTCATCTGCCAGATCTTGTTGATTTTACCTCTACGATCTATCTTAAATCCGGTCCTTTGTCTCCACTCACACAATTCCCGCCCTACTCCATATCTTTATCACCTCTTGCCTCAGATATCACAAAGGCCACCTAACTGATTTTGTAGCCTCCAGTCTTGTTCCTCTGTCTCCCATTCCAGCTCTAGTCTCACATGCTTTGCATTCCAGCCAAACTGACCTATTTGCTATGATCTGAAAAGGACATTCTAGCTCCCATCTCTCCATCTTCACTCAGACTGTCCTTCATACTTGGAATGCACTTGCTACCCTCCTCAGAGAATCCCTAGATTCTTTCCTTGAACTACAAATTCTACAGGAAAAATAACATCTTATGCCCTCTGTCTGGAAATTACTTCATATGGTCAGTTCTGCTACAAGTCAACATATGTGTTCCTAAAAATCACCTTGCTGTGAAAAATTGACCCATAAAAACCACAGGGCTTATGGGAAACATGGGGCATTTGAAGCACAACACTCAAAAACTTTATCAGTGACATATAAAAAGAGAGATGTTATTCAGTCATGTCAGCCTCTTCGTGACCCCATTTAAGGATTTCTTGGCGCAGATACTGGAATGATTTACCATTTCCTTCTCTATCTCATTTAACAGATGAGGAAACTGAGGTAAACAGGGTTAAATGACTTGCCCAGGGTCATATAGCTACTAAGTGTCTGAGGCCAGATTTAAACTCAGGAAGAGGAATCTTCCTAACTCCAGGTCCTGCACTCTATTTATTGTGGCCACCTAGCTGCCCCAAAAGAGACGTAGGAACCTAGTAAAAGTGGTAACACAGTTTTATACGTGTAATTGGTTGAGAAATACATAAATAGTACAGTAAAGAGTGGCTGTGTCCACAGCTTAAGGCTGCTGCTCAGGCTGCTTCTGCGGTTCCAGTTCCAGTTCCTACAGGGCTAGGGACAGGTGTCGGTAGTGGTA